TATTGTGTGTCATGCAAAGCCAAAACCTTAATGATCGCGATCAAAAATGGACAAATTCAGATTATCTGACATAAATAGACATATGAAAACATTGCTCATTTACATTATTCATTAGAGATAAACTTTCCTGAACTTTTTGTGTCCCAATTTCCTATTTCCTTAAGAACGCTTTAATAAATCTTGCATGTTTAGTCAAATCAATAAAGATGTATCAATTGTCGATAACTTGAAAAATTACATCATTATTGATTTTTACAAGATATTCTTTAAGAAAACGAATTGAAAATACCGAACTAGGGGTGTGAATTTATTGTTATTGTTATTAATAACAATAACATTTTTGTTATTGTTATTGATAACAATAACTTTTTTGTTATTTGTTATTAATAACAATAACTTTTTTTTGTTATTTGTTATTAATAACAATAACTTTTTTTTGTTATTATTATTAATAACAAAAAAATAACAAATAACTTTTTTTTCCGAAAAACCTCTAACTACGAGTGGGAAGTTATCTTTACGTTCCACGCTAATCCGTAGCCTTGGGTCCTCAAGTCCTATTATTCGGGGATATCCTTGGGTCCTCAAGTCCTACTATTGGAGAGTACCTTTAGGTCCTTAAGTCCTACTATTGAGGGCACCCTCAGGTCCTCAAGTCCTACTATTGGGGGACAACCTCAGGTGGGAGTGTGAATTTATTGTCATTGTTATGTGTTATTAATAACAATAACTTTTTTTTGCTATTTTTTGTATTAATAATAAAAAAATAACAAATAACTTTTTTTTTGATGAACCTTTAAATCCAATACCTGTCTATCTCAACTATATCGATTATATTGGTCTATGTTTAAGGAATGAAATTACTACTGCTATGACATCAATCCATCTGGAAATTTGAGAATTTGCATAGATCATATCGATGAAGATATTTTACACGTTTTTTACTGCTCAAAACAATAGAAATTGACCGACTTCTCAAGAAATTCTCATGATTTCAATCCATTGAACCCTTCTTGTTACAAAAAATAACAAAAGTTCAGAAAACTGTCTGAACTCAGGAAGAATATTCATTTTGAAATAACTAATACATATTTCTCTTAACGAATAGTTCTTGTTTAAAACTCCTATATATATTTCAGGATCGATTCGTTTCTTGATGCAGCACTCCTTGCGATTATAATTCGAAACAGTTGATATATTCCGTTAGAATAGACAAGATCAATTATTTGAATTAACGTAAATCTTCTAGGTCGATCTCGAAACACATTTGTTTTCGTCCTTTTTCTGCTTTTCTCTTCGATGAAATTTGTTCATCGAATGAATCATATAGATGAACGCAAGTGTTCAGTCCAGTCTATAACAGAACGAGAAAAAGAATTTTTTTATTTCCCTCTCATTCTCACATTTCTATCATAACATTTACTTGTATTGTTGGTACATTTCTAATTTTCAAACGATTTGATTCACATGATGTCAACCGAAGAAGAAATGGAATATCAGTCTTATCCATCTGCATCAGTCAATATTCCAATGTCTTCTGCTCGTCGTCGTTCAGTATCTCGAAGACGTGATCGTAGTTTGAATTCTGTTCACTTTCAAAATCTCAATCGTACGTCTAAACGTGCAGCTTCTACACCGAAACCAACTCGTCCTAGTGGTCGTACTTTAAATCAATCATCAACCAACAATCAATTATCAACCAACAGTCAATCATCAACCCACAATCAATCATCAACCAACAGTCAATCATCAACCAACAATCGATTATCAACTTGCACCAAAGAAAAAAAGGACATGTTGCTATTTCTCTTCTTTCACCTATTCATCCATCAAATTCACCTGATCGTTCTCAATCACCAGCTCCACTATTGCCTTTCGATTGTCCATCAGATGATGAACAACATCAACAGCAGAACATGCATATTACAACTCGATCTGGTAAAATGAAGAAAGATACAGTTTTATCATATTTTACTCTACGATCAGATGGTCAATACGACTGCAATACTTGTCATCAGGTAATTTCGGTTCAGTCTCATTTCAGGCACTTTTTCGTTTGAGTCATTTTATAAATAAACAAGCACTTGTAAATATATTTTTTCGGTTCAGTTTGAAATAACTTTTTTTGAGAGAGAAATTCTTTGCAAATAAGTATATGATTATTTTCTTATTAGATTCATGATCAATAATGAAGATCTTTAGAAAGATAAGTTAGATTTTTTTTTTATATCTCCATAGTTTATTTTTCTGCTCTAAAGTTAGAATTTTACAACAAGAAAATATCCTAACGTTAGTAAAGATTTTATTGCTTAAATCAAAGAATATATGCTCCAAGCTTTTTTTTCATTTCCAATGTTGGGATATTTAAGCAAAAAGTGTTCTAACATTAGGAAACGTTTTATTGCTCAAATCAAAGAACGCAGCTCCAAAGTTTGTTTTTCGTATCCAAGATTAGAGCATTCAAGCAAAAAATTATTTTAACTTTAGTAAAGACTTTATTGCTCAAATTGAAGAATGCAGCTCGAAAGTTTGTTTTTCATATCTAAGGTTTGGATATTTAAGCGAAACAGTATTCTAACGTTAGGAAAGGCTTTACTGCTCAAACTGAGGAACGCAGCTCAAAAGTTTGGTTTTTATATCTAATGTTGGAATACTCAAGCAAAAAGTATTCTAACGTTTGGACAGATTCACTATACATAATGAATGTCACAGCTCCAAAGTTTATTATTCATATCCAATGTTAGGGTATTCAAGCAAAAAAATTATTCTAAAGTTAGTAGTTATATGATTAATTATTAGATCTAGATTTTGAGTCATAGCTCCAAAGTTTGTTTTTCATGTCCAACGTTTGGGTTCTTATGCAAAATTTATCCTAAAGTTGGTAATGATGTATTTTTTGTGTTCGAATCTTTAGCTCATTATTCTATGGTTTGTCTTTTATCTCAAAAATGAAGATTTGAAACTCAAAAGCTGTTCTAATATTGCTAATTATCTATCCTTCATGTTCAACATGGAACTCAAATCTCTATAGTTTCCTCTTTCTTCACTCAGATTTAGGATATATTTATTTAGAGAATGTGATCATGAACCCAAAGAAAGTAAATAATCATTTAACTCACATGAAATAGATAGAAGATCAGCTAAATTGCGTTCTAAATAGTATCATAATTGTGTAAGCAACAAATAGTATTTTTCCATATAAAACTCAACATTTAAATGTTTTATCAATAGTCCTTTTTTTAAAATTAATAACCAACACTAATTGTGCACTTTACAGATCTTTGAAAATGTTTAAAGAATAAGAATAATACAAACAAGAATATTAAACATTTGATAGATATATAAGGTGAAACATATTCAAATGAAAATAACAAATGAGAGAAATCTTATTTTATTTAATAAAATAACAAAATTTTACATCAGAAAGTGATGTTATCGCTTTTCTTATTCTCTAGTAATTATATAAGGGAATTACCAATTATAATATAAAGTTTTATCATTTATCTATATACTCCTAGATTAAAAATCTATTATCATCTTATAAATCTTCATTATAACCGACATAACTATTGTTTGAGATACTTAGCATAGTCTGTCTGTCATTTCGTTTTTGCTATCCTACTGTCTCAAAACAAAAAGAATTTCACCACTGAAACTTAAAAACATTTATCTCTGTTAAGATTTCTTTCTATACAAATTTGTATTGTTCAAAGTATTTACCAGCTTGAAAAATATTCGTTTTTCAAGCAAAAATAATTTTTAACAAATAATTTTTGAGTTAGTGTCACTATTTTCTTTTGACAAAATCTATCATTTTTTATATATGATTATTGAAGATACATGAACTATTTTACTGTAAAAAAAACAACGGCTTTCTCTCGATGAATTAAAATATTTTATAGTCAAAAGCATTATTTCAACTGTAATTTTAGATGTGATCTAATAACTTTTATGATTAATAGATGCTTGAAATAATTTTTTGTAGCTCTAACAGAAGTGTTACATATTAAGATAAGTATACGATATTTTTGACTAGAAGCAACTGCTACTCCAAAGAATTTCGAATCACAGATTGATCCAAGCTAAACCTATGTTGACGGTCTAATCCTCCCACTCCTTTCTTTCTGCAGAACAGATCTTTTTGCATCCGTCCTCCTTCCCAGTAGAAATCTACCAGAGCAGGGGAAGGAAAGGGAAAAAGTTTCCCAACGAAAGTTTTTTCACAACTAATATCCTCTAAAATACCTTATAAATGTAAATATCAATCTTTCAGAATATGTCTCATGTGTATGTGACTTCATTATCTAGTGGGAGTTATATGTATTTTGCTGATTTCATTCGATCTCGTGAATATAAGATAAGACACGATATTTTTTTTATAAACCTTACTTCTTTCAAACAATCAGACTAAATAAACCAAATAATCTAGAACCCAATATGTTGAGAGATATTATACAGCTGAAGAGTTTCTTTGGAACTGTCAAATTTTGATGCAAAAACTCTGTGAATGTCAATTATCCAGATTTTGGTTATTCTCAAAAAAACGAGTGACTGTTTCTGTAATTGATTATGACATATTTTTTTTCTTGACTATAATGACAGTTTGATAGAATCTGTTTTTTGTATCACAATAGTTAGAAAAGTTATGCTTAGTTCAACTGACCAAATTGAAAAGTAAGCTTTGCGATATTCATTACTAAGAAAACTCTATCAATGCATATCAACATGCTTCTAAACAATACTACTAATTGATAATTTAATTGTCTAAGTAGTTCATTATCTATCATCAACTGTAAACTTATCTGTAATGTACCATATTAGTTACTCAATCAAAATGGTAGTTCTTTTTTTATTCTGTTGTTGTTTTAAATATCTCGAATTAGGAAAACAAACGGGTCTTCAAACGTTTACTTTTTTGGAATAATCATTTGTAAACAAAAATAATTTTGTCTGAAGGATCAGAGAAGACAATTCTCTTGTTGGCTTTTGAAATTTTATTTTTACTTTATACACCAATAAGACTCTCCTGCTATAAAATATAAATAAGACGTGCTCTGTTGAACAAATTACTGAAAATATGTGAAAGTATTATAAAATTTATATTAAAAAATATTTATCATTTAAGAAAAAAAAACAAGTTGCTGTGTATTTTCGTTATAGGGCGCCTATTAATAAAAATAGTGAAAAAAATTCGTTTGAAAAATTAATTGTTTTCTTTTCATCTAAACGCGCTTATCGTATAAAATAAAATAAAAATAGTGAAAAAAATTCGTTTCAAAAATTAATTGTTTTTTCCATCTAAACGCGCCTATAATATATAATAAACGAAGTACCTGAAATGAGACACTCCCGTTAATACAACATGCAACCACAAATGCAGTATTAATATCAAGAAATAATGTACAACCAATCGAATCACCAATGCGTCGACCGCATCCCTCATCAAATGATGAACTGTCGGAGACGGAAAGCTTCATGAATGATATTAGTACAAGAACAGTTCACAATCATAAACGTACCAGATTGAATGCAAGCAAGTTACATCAACAACAACCAACAATAACTACATCGGTTCATACATCTTTAAATAATCGTACTCATGTAACAACAACAATAGATGAAGTGATCTCGATCGAAGCTGAACGTTTTGCACAATCAAGATATCCCTTTCCACCCTTTATCATTCGTTTCGCAACGCCAAATATTAAGGAACAAACAGTGTCAGAAGATCTTCGTAAACATTTAAAACAACATAATCAACTAGATATCGAATTTGTCGGCTATCGACGTTCAACAAATAAATGCAGCAATAATGAAATTGATATACTATTATTTGTAAAAGATAGTTATTCATTCGCATGTCTATTCGATGATTCCAATTGGCCTACATTGCTTAATGGAGAAATGTTTGTTCGATCTCATAAACCACCAATACCACCTCAATTGTCATTAATAATTAAAAACGTTGGATTAAATATTGATTGGGTACATTTCTCTAATGAATTAAAATCAAACTATTCTGGTATTGTCAATGTTATAAGAATGAAAAACAAGAAATATGAAAATATTAAACTTATCAAAATCGAATTTGATAAACCTAAACAAAGAAATTATATTTTACTCAAAGGCAAAATTATGATCGAATGTTTATCATATGAAGTAGAAGAATATTTAGCACCTGCAAGGGTACTCATCTGCTCCAAATGCATGGCCATTGGCCATTTCCGGAAGCAATGTCAACAACAGTATGATATATGTAAAAAAATGTGGAACTGAATATCCTGATGTAAAACAACACAATTGTTCGGAACAACCCCATTGTATTCACTGTCATGGAAATCATCAATTGAATGACATGAAATGTCCGGTGGTCAAGGAGTTCAGATCAAATCTCACGGACAGACTTCTTTCTACCTCATCCAATTCAAATAATAATAATAATAACAATAATCAATTTCGTCTAAACTTAAAGGACTTCCCGAGTCTACCTAGTGCTCAAAAATCAACTATTCAAGGTTATAAAACTAATAACCACAGTAACAACAATAATGATGCAATATTATCAAAATTAAATTAAATGAATCAAAATATGTCTAAAGTTAATGTAATATTAGAAAAATTATCCTCGACAAACGCTAAATTTGAACAATTCATGGCCAATGTAATTGAACAAGATAAAAAAGTGGAAATGAACATACAAGATTTACAAAAGAATGGACAAACAATGATGTCTCATATTACACAACTACAAGTTTATTCAATTCGACATGAAAATCTTTTTAAAAAAGTATTCTTACCAATAATAGACGACTTGTCGAAATTTGTGTTAAGTATGAATCAGGATAAACATGATAGAGTTGTTGATGCCGATTTCGGTGTTACACTTGAACGATTACGGACACAATTGAATAATGCACTAGAAGGAAAAGACTTTTGTTAATAATGATTTTATCACCCTTAGCAATCCCTTTTTTTTCTTGTATTTCACCAATTAAACTAATTGAACGACAGAGAATATTATGTATGGCTAAAGAATCCTTATCTTATTTTGACTTTATCTTGTTTTTAAACATTTTATATGAATGGGAAAGTTCTCTACTTCTTCACAGTTGCTTTAACTTATGGAACGAATTCGAGAAGCCCAACCTATACATTATCAGTGACGCACTTCATTTATTATCTTTTAACGTTCGAGGTCTTAGCAGTAGAATACAAGAAGTTCTTCTTCTTTCACTCTCATTCAATTTTGATATCATGATTCTGTTAAAAGTGGGTGTTGTTGATCCTTATATGGTAGGACAGTCATTTTCCAAATATCGTTTCCTTTACCAAGCTAGAGAGAATAGCCACGGTGATGTACCAATCTTGTGTAGAAACGATCTTAATGAAAAAAGAATAAGTTGTCAAATTCCCAATGTTTGTATACTGGACCTAGAATTAGATGAAACAATAAGAATCATTGGTGTTTATGGATCTGAAAGCAGAACTTGGAAATGGAATAATTTATCTAACCATGTCTGCGGAAAATGCGTCGTATTTAGAGGTTTTAATGTGGATCTAGAAAAAGATGAAAAAAAAATCGGAAGAATTGTTGAATTGGGCTGACTCTTGCTCTTTTGCTCCATTTAAACCTGATGCACCCACTTCCTTAAGATCTGAAAGAACAATAGATTATGCCTTTTCAACAGAAATTCCATATTCAAATGCAGATTCATGAAGGTGGTACTACAAGTTATCATAAACCCATTATAGCTGTTATCTCAACTAAATCTGCAGCCTTAAGTCATGGTAGAAACATTCACTGGAAGGTCTTCTCGTGGTTTCTTTCTTTAGTTCTCCCTTTCTGGGAAGAGCGTTGGAACTTAAACAGTCTCGATTTAATTTATAACGATTATACAACCCTTTTGCCACTACTCTTAGCACGTTACGGGTGTGGAAAAAATCTTGTGACGCTCACGGACTTTCTATCTATATGTTCCAGTTTATACCAACTGCTTATTGGAATCTCTTGGTACAGATCTTTAATCTTTCCTTCTCCTCTGCAATCTTTCCTGCTGCGTGGAAAGATATTCGAATAATCATTCTAGCAAAAAAAGATGCAATTTGTTCTCCAGCTCATACATGTCCTATCTCACTGCTCGATCTTATTCTAAAGATAAACGAAAGACTTTTTACGAATAGATTTAGAGAAATTTTAAATAGGAGAGGCATTCTTCCGGATACTCAATCTGGATTTAGACCCGGACCTCGTCTTCAAACAAGAGTACTCTTATTCCTAGAACAGATATCGTCATATATGGCAAATAGCTCTCCGTTAACTACCGTCTTTGTGGATTTTAAAAGTGCGTTCGACCAACTTTGGTTTGATGGATGTTTAGGCAAACTTCGTAGAATGAGAATCTCTAAATCCTACCTCAATTAGATAAAATCCTGGCTTGAAGGAAGGAGAGCCTATATCGAAATTGAAGGAAAATGTTCCAGATGGATCTCGATCAATAGAAGAGGACCACAAGGCTCGATCTTTACGTCCAGCTTATTCATATCGTACCATTCTGATATGGGAGATTTTCTTGACTATTGTGTGCCATTCTTCTTCGCCGATGATCTTGCAGCTGTTTTGGCTGGAAGAATTGGTGCCAAATATAGTGAATAATGTCTTGATCTAGAAAAAAGACTAAAAAAAATTCATTGATAATTTAGAATTATATTCAATCCTAAACCTATAGCCCGTCAATTACGCAAAAACCGAAGCATTATGGTCTTCTAGAGCAATTGTAAGACCTCATGTTGAAATTAAATGTGGAGCAGAAATTATCAATTGGGCGAAAGCCTTTAAATACTTAGGATATTGGATTTCGCCTAAATTGGGATGGAATAGAATGATTAAAAAAACAGTTAAAAAGATTAGACAAAGAATCAACATGGTTAATTCATTTAGAATAAATGGACATACTTCACCTAAATTAAAAAGAGCTCTTTTTTTATGTTACGTCCTCCCAATTTTTACCTGGTTATTCGCTATCTTCCCCCTATTCACAGAAGAACAACGTAACGATCTTTCACATTTTTATTATACCTGTTTGAAACGCATATATAGATGTCTTCTCTGGACTGATTCATTCTTCTCATTTGCTACAAACGAAATATCTCTGGAGGATAGATGCTTACGATACGGGGAAAGATATTGGAAAACACTTTCGGAATCAATGGATGGCCAACTAATCCTTGAACAAGCTAATCTCAATACATATAGAACAGCATGGTTAAATAAACAGATGCCTATTAAAAGTCTACATAGATCTAAAAGATTTGTACAACATACTTCAATTCTAGAAAAAGTACTTCGTTGGTGTTCCAATTCAACCATGATCAATACTACCCTTAATTTCAATATAGATGAAATCTTAACATTGATTTATTTCCCTGATACCTTTTAATTGAATATCGTTCGGTCTTCTGAATTATTCATTTGTCTTTCCTTTATTCCTCTGCTTCCCACTCATTTGGTCAATTTATAAACTAAATCTTATAAACAGAAGGATTGTCATATGCATGCATAATATTCTCTCCTATTTTCTATCCTCACACTACTTCTACAAATATTACATTTTATCATTTCTTTTTGTGAAACACGATCTGAAAGGAGTGTTGAAGTGTTTAGGGGCAGAAATTTGCACCCCCCCCCTCCCCCCCACAGACCGTGACAGAGAAATTTCATACCCATCACAGACCGTGAGAGAGGAACCAAATACCCATCACAGACCGTGACAGAGGAACCAAATACCCATCACAGACAGTGACAGAGGAACCAAATACCCATCACAGACCGTGACAGAGGAACCAAATACCCATCACAGACCGTGACAGAGGAACCAAATACCCATCACAGACCGTGACAGAGGAACCAAATACCCATCACAGACCGTGACAGAGGGGCTCCAAAGACCGTCACAGACCGTGACAGAGGGGCTGCAAAGACCATCACAGACCGTGACAGAGTGGCTGCAAAGACCATCACAGACCGTGATAGAGGGGCTCCAAAGACCATCACAGACCGTGACACAAAAATCTAGTACCCATCACAGACCGTGACAGAGAAACCTAGTACCCATCACAGACCGTGACAGAGGGGCTCCAAAGACCATCACAGATTGGGACAGAGAAAACCCATACCCATCAGAAACCTTGGCAGAAACCTAGTACCCATCACAGACCGTGACAGAGAAACCCAGTACCCATCACAGACCGTGACAGAGAAATCGAGTACCCATCACAGACCGTGACAGAGAAATCCAGTACCCATCACAGACCGTGACAGAGGGCCTCCAAAGACCATCACAGATCGGGACAGAGAAAATCCATACCTATCACAGACCTTGACAGAAACCCAGTGCCCATCACAGACCGTGACAGAAACCCAGTATCCATCACAGACCGTGACAGAGAAATCCAATACTCGACACAGCCCGTGATAGAGGGACTCCAAAGACCATCACGGACCGTGACAGAGAAAATTCAAATTCCTTCATTTACAATATAAAACGCTGCATCGTGTTTCACATTTTTAATCCCGCAAGGGATTGCGCTAACAGCTTTTCTCTCAGCTGTTCCTTGTTTATCTTATTTATTATATGAGAAGTAACATGCACTTAAAGGACGGTTTGCAGAGTCCTTCTCATATTAAAAAAAAAACTATTGTTGTCTTATTATGTTTAAATATTATTTGTTTGTGATTTGATCCCTTATCATTCCCTCGTTGACACACCAATTATCGCTGTTAATTCTTTATCCCCCATATTATATGTAATTTGTTCTTTAGCTCTTATACACTTCTTTTTCTTCTTTCATTCTAATATCTTTTGTACTGACAGGACCCAAGCAGTCATCAGCAATGCCAATAAAAAAAAACGAATCATTTTAATAGCAACAAAACAAAATTGTAGTTTCTCATACTTGTTTATAATGTTTCCATAAATTTATTATTCTGATCAAATAACATTAAACATATAACAAACAAATAAAATTATACATAGATTTGTAATAGAATTTAAATAAAATCGAGTCTTTCAATACTCTACAATATCTAACACAAAAAAAAAATGTTTAATTCTTCTTCTTGAGAGAAAAAGTCAACTGAATATCTTTATTGATAATATTAAATGTACCATCTACATATTTTTAACATCTATCATAATTATATCGAACAAAATATGTGCTCAACAAATCATAGACATAATTGTAACTAAATCAGTCGTTTTCATTTTGTTCGAGAAGAATCATGATCTGGTTTATATAATCGATCAATATCATATAAGAAAAAATACAATTTTCATAAATAAATTGATTACATTCAAAGAAATTCTTCAATATTCTTACATTTTTAGAATTCATTTTTACATTGAAATGAATAAACACATTTATTTTTCGTTAGCTTATTTATCGTATAGAAATTCGCTAGACTATCTCATGCTCTAGTGCATGTCCATGCAATGTTACGTAAAGCTTTATGGATTGCATGTTGGATCATCTCATGGTTTGAGTCGACCTGCAAAGAACGCGAAAGGATGTGAGTGTGGTTCTGGAGTTGAGGTTTAATATATTTTGAATAGATTTGGAATAAAGAATCTTAGAATTTGATTTGTACCGCACCTCTACTAAATTAGATTATTATTGATGTCAACTTATCTTACTAAATTCTTTTGGAATGTAGGTCATTTGAAATCAAATCCCAAAACGTTGAGTTTGTTGTATTCCTAGTCTGAAGGATCTCAGTGTGGATGTAGGTATGAATGTGAGATCCTTATTGCATTCACACACTCCTATGATATTTGTTAATAAATTTTTTGAAAGAAAAAAAAACTTGTTGCTATTTTAATTTTTCGTTCTTCTTTATCTTTTTCTGTTTATCAAAAGAAAATATTATTCAATTTCATGCAGTCAAAATTGAAATTTTAATTTTGACCATAATATATATTTACAATAATCATGTTTAATGCGGTATTACTTTTACTTCTAATATCATCAACATCAAGAGCAAATATGCGTAGTAATATTAAAGGAATTTTAGAATTAGAAAGACAATAGTCAAGTAATAAATCATTTGATTCATTTAGTTTTTTTTTTTCATTGTAAATGTGTTATAGAAGAAAATTTATTTGCATGTCGAGTACACATTCAAAATATGAAATAATGAAAGATATTATTCAAATGAACTTCGATAAATAGAAGTTATATGAAATGATTTTTTTAATAAATAAAAATTTGTTCAATGATGATCGATTATCGTTTAATACAAGAAAATTTTTTGTAGAAAAAATGTTGAAGATTTTCTTTTTTTTTCCTATTGTTTATATTATCTGTAATTATCATTGTATCTTGGGATTTCAAGAAAACAATATTTGATTATGTAAGAGAAAAAAAAAATTTGTTGTCTCAACATAAATACATATGTCTTTTTATATACATGTTCTTCTTTGTCTTTTAATACTACATGGATGCGTATATATATATATATATTCGATTCAATAGAATTTTTGAGTTATTATAAACATATCAAAAGATTTAATATATAATCTTCATTATAAAAGTGCATTTAATAATCAAAAAAAGCCTTTCGGCATATAACATTCATTGATTTGTTGTTGATGATATATATATATATATTTTTCTTTCTAAATGATCACGATAGATTATTTTAAGATGTATGGAAACGTTTGTTGAACAACAATAAAATAGAAAAACAAGATGATAGTAATGTAGCGGTAGTACCACACAAGCATTTGCTAATTAATTATTAGAAAGCTAAGTTGTTGATTTTGACAGGGAAAAGAGCAGAAAAAAAAAGACATTCGGAAATGTCTTTCTTTCTTTTTCTTTTTTTTCATATCGCTCATTTCCCAAAGTTTTTCTCTTTTTGAATGGTGATTCATTTTCATACGGAAGAAAAGAAAAAAAAATGTGATGACGAGAAGGCAATGTGGTGTTCTTTCGCATCGTTAAACAATCATAATGATAAATCACACAATAGACCAGAATAACATCAATATTAAGACAAGAAAAACGACAACATAGGTCTGGTCAATTAATAAAAGAACAAGCTAAATCTTGTTAATAATTATAACACATATATTCTGAAACATTTTTGATTGAATTTTATTGACAGATGGCAGTTATATTTTCTCAGAAATAGATTTTTTTATATAATATATAAAACAAGCAGAATTTTCCTAGCGGCTTATTCTCTACCTGCTGGTCTTTTGTGCTTTTTCATTTAACTTAGCCTACGAGCATCATACAACAATATATGTATATATTGTTACGTTTGTCACTCATCAATGCTCATTGCCGTTTTGCGCATATATAGATGCGTATGTTGAGCGTATGCATTGATAATAGAGCTATAAAGATGATCGATGCGGCGAATAGTGATTATTCTATTGAGCGAGCATCGATAATCTAAACAACAACGGTACTTTTGTTTCCTTACTTATTTACCCGCCCTTCTTCATTTATGTGAAATCAACTGAGTGTGAGATAAATATTCAATGAACAAATTTGTTTTCCGCATGTGCATATATACATATACATATATATATATATATAGATATCCGTCTGGTCATCATATTGTTTTGTACTCATCAAATACTATTCAAGAAAACGATTATCTTCTTTCGACAATACATTCCATCATGTTTAAAGATCTATTCGGGTATGTATTTCTAGTAATAAAATATAGTATGATATTATTTGAAATTAAATAAGAATCAAATAGAATTTGTTTTTTTTTAATTGATGTCACTATGATGAAAAAAAAAATCAATTGCCGAAAAGTTTATTTAATCTTCTTTGAAATTTAATATTTCTTATAATAATAAACACATAGATAATAAGAATTAATTATTTTGAATATTGATTATTATAAACAATAGTTAATTAAATATAAGTTTAAAGAATATAATCCTCTTACGAATGAAATAATCAATTAATTAAGAAATTGTATTCTATTAGACTAAGAAATTTAGAAAAGAACTAATTTTAATTGAATTATCAAAATAGTATCCTTAGAATTATTCAAATAATTTATTCGAACTGAAATGATTAGATTTAGATATTATCGAGTTGTTTGTTTAGTATATTGAGATATAAAATAAACAAAAAAAAAGAAAGAATTCTTATAGAAGAAGATGTTCATTAGACCATGTTAGTTCGGCTATTAAATATCCTTTTAATTAACATTTGTAATTATTACAATAGTCACAGATGATTGAATAATAATAATAGAGTAAATTTCTCGGAAATCGATGAATTTAAATTTGAAAGTTGTAGAAAATTTTTCTTATTATATTTTTATTCGCTCTTGTAATAGATCGGATGATTTGATTTGAAGACAAAAAAAAAAAAGATAGCATAAATCGAGAGTCAAACACTACAATATTTTCGATTCAATTATCATCAAGATGATTATAAGATAAGTTTTAATAAAAGTTCTTTAAAAATATATATTATAGAGTAATTTTGAAAATAACTTTTCATTTATTAATTTTAAATATTTTGAGATTGTATGATAATAAAATTATTTGAATCTTATCAAAATTTCTCATATTTCAGTTCTCCTGTTGTTTTTATTATTATTATTCTTCCATCAAACTTATTTTCAATAAATTTTAAAACTGCTTGTGATCTATTAAATCTTCCACGTGAATGTCATTGTCAACGAACACGTAATATACCAATATATTCATTTAATGAAACACGTTTACGATGTCGACAATTAACTGAAATAACAACAAATTATCATTGGTCAAGTATATCATATGATCATTTAGCATTTGAAACATTTAATGATAATTTAACAGTACATCGTTTTGTTTTTTCTAATATTATTATTCGAACATTACGTTTTAATACACAATATCTTATTTTAAATGATCATACATTTAATAATGCTTATATTGGACAATTAGGTATAACACATCAAGATACATATGGTCGAATTTATTTTGAATTAAATGGACAAATATTTTATGATACAACTATAACAAATTTATTTTTTAAATTTATTGATTTTGAAATACCAATATCAGAAATAAGTTTTTCAAATTCAAAAATTTATTCATTTTTAATACAATCATCAAAATTTTATGGTTTTACAAATCAAAATAATGATATTATATCAAAAACTATTACAAATATAAAATATGATCATTTTCTTGAATATGATATTTTATTACCAAAAAGACAAAAAAAAATTTCACAACAATTATATGAATTAAATGATGAAAATTCATCGATTGATTCAGAAAACACTATAACTATCAATGTATCATTAATGACAAATCCTATATATATTATTATATTTACAATAATTTCAAGTATTAATACAACAAATTTAACTGAAAATTATTTTCCAAATAATTTAGAATATAGTCAAACAGAAGAAATCGAATTAAGTTTTAATCAAATAAATACTCTTAATGCACATACATTTCGTCATTTAAAACAATTTAAAGGACGATTAATATTACGAAATAATCAAATTAGATATTTAAATCCATATGCATTAACAGATTTATCTTTAGTAAAAAATTTATCATTATCAAAAAATTTTATTAAACATTTAACATCAATACATTTTAAAGAATTAAATCAATTATATGAACTTGATTTAAGTTTTAATCAAATATATGAATTAAATAATAATATATTTAAATATTTATATAATTTACATATACTTTATTTAAATCATAATCCTTTAGAATTAATTCATTCAAATGCATTTTCAAATTTAACTAAATTAAAACAAATTCATTTTCAAGGTGTTAAATTTATTCATTTAGTTGATTTATGGATATGGAATTTAGCTAATTTACATGTTATTCATTTACTCAAAACTGAGTAAGAATATATAGAAAACAAGTTTTTAGAATATCAAAAAGAAAAATTTCCATCATTTCCTAACCTACAAATGATTTCTTATTTGCTAAGTAGTTTTACATTATATAATTAGAATAAGAGCTTTACTACTTGGTACAAGTTAGTATTAAATAAATATATGAAATAACCTTCCGAAGAAAAGAACGGAAGAGAATATGTGTCTTACCGAGTGTCGTGACGTAATCATAGTTTCTCAAATTAGTTATATTGACTCATGACAATGAAGTTAAGCGGAAGAAAAAGAAAACACATCATTTGTTGCACTTTTTTTTTCGATTTAATTATGCATGAAATATATTCAACAGTATTTTCATTGATTAAAACTATAACTTAAAAAAAAATATAAAATAATTAATATCATTTTCTTTTTGCAAATAACTTGAATAGTATATTTTAATTAATTGATTATGATTAATTTAAAAAGAATGATATAAACAAAATTTATATATAAAATAAATTCCATATTTATTTTTTTTAATTTGATTTCTAGTTTTGATTTGAGTGATGTTGCTTTTTGTATATTATCAAATTATAATCAAACATTATTTCATTTATCACATCAATATTTTTGTTCATGTAATATACATTATTTTAATTTTAATCAATATTTTATTGAAAATACTTCAATATCAATATTAAAATATAATAGAAATTATTTACGTTTAACTCCTATATGTAATAAAAATGAAACAGAAACAATTTTAAAACAACAAACAAATGAAAGTAATTTAATATTTCATGATTTAGAAGATAATTGTGATTATAAATTAATGTTTCTCGATTGTGATGCTATGGCAACAACACCGACAACAACAACGCTGACAACAACAACAACAACAACGCCAACAACAACAACAACAATAACAACAACAACAACAACAACAATGCCATCAACAATAGAAATGACACGTTTATTCGATATAGAAATAGAAACTACATATATTTCAGATATTCTTATTCATCAAACAACTGAAATTCCTGTACCATTGACAAAAACTTGGTTTGTTTCGAATTAATTGAAAATTTTTAAGTTTCAGAACGAGTGTAATCCTCAAATACTAGTATAGTTTTCATTTATTTCATGATTAAATTCTAATACAAGTAAATAAAAAATAACATTTCATCAATCATTGTGTCACAAAAAAAGGTGTATTTTAATATTGAAGTAGCAAAAAAAAATTCTTCTTTCAATCAAGAAAATAAGTCGAACATAATTTGGCAGTTAGCGCTTTGAGAAATAAGAATAAACAGATGTATATTGATTTTTTTTTCCATGAAATCTTACCAGACTAAGGACTATTTCAATAGAAATAATAAGTTTGATGGAAAGTCCTCTTATGTAATGAGAAAATAAAACCATCATGTCTTCTTACAGTCTCATAACAGGAAGGAAGAATATTTCACCTTTCGGCTAGCTTACGTATATAGAGTACGGACTAAAAGCAATTTTATTAGTTAGATATTGAATGTAATGAATAAAAACTTTTTAATAATATTTCATTTCTTTCAGGATAATTCCAACTACAACACAAGAAACACCTTTAAATAATATAAAAAAATTATTTACTGTACTTGGTACATTAATAGCAATAACAATTGGTGCCATTGTTTTCGTTTATTTTTGGTATCGTTTTAAAGGTATATTAAGACAAAAGAAAAAAAAGAAAACTTTTCTTGTACAACAACAAGGACATTTTAATTCACCAATTCTCAATCATCATCATCATCATCTATCAATAGCAATACATTATGCTTCATCGGATATATTAGGTAGTATAAATAATGTACATTTATCTCGTAGTAAAAGTCATTCACAAACATTAATTGAACCACCAATATTACAATCATTATCTATGTATAAAAATACTGAATCAATTGATAATGATCAAATTGTAAATTTTATTGACGATGAAAGTATACAACAATATTCAGGAGATGTTTCAATAGCAGAAATGCAAGCAATTAGTCAATGTTAAATATATTGTACTTCTTATATTTGTGTGTGTGTGTGTGTGCTTTTTGTTAAATTTAATAAATAAAAAGAAATTATGTCTAAATAATGATGTTAAAGCTATCAAATAATCTATGTATTACTATTAGATATTAGGTAAATATTCACATGATTAGATTTATAAGGTAAATTATAAGTGTAATGCCTAATTTCCTTTGTATTTTGCACATACAGAACGGTAGAACAAATAGATTTCTAAATGATGAAAAATTACGCAGATTCTTGACTTACAAGGGAAGCGCCGTAAGTGATTAGCCGTCTTTGAATTGGAACTCTGTACTTCATGTAAATCCTATCTTGAATTTGTAACTGAATGTCGTGGTTCATTACAATCAGAATATCAGAAAAATTCATTTGCAAATTTCGACTTGAAACTTTGCCTAAAGAAAGGCTTTTAACAGGAATTGTTTATTTTGAAAATTCCAGGCCTGTTAATTTGTTCCTATCCTAAAATAAAAACATCGAATCAGCTAGTATATATAAGCGATGTAAAAGACACACTTAGGATAGGATTAAGGAAAAGATCTAAAACTTTCCTAATAAACTATTCTCGCTGAGATACGTCCCTGTCCAAAGTTTCAATTCGAAAATCAGTTTTCACTAAGGACGCGAGCTTGTTTACAGATCATTTTCTGACTGATGATGTTATGAGTTCATTAATAAAACGTCTCTAATAAAATGATTAAAACAGTGTCAATTATTCTATTATATTAATATTCAATTCTTTTTTATTTGAATGCTTTCTTTACCTAGATGATTTAGACATAATGTTCACTATAAACTTGATATTATATTGAGTAAATGAACAATCAAATTAATCGGTAAATTCCTCGAATATATTTTTAGTTTTATAATTGTGTAGATATTCTCGAATCAATGATGCAGCAAAATAGGAAGAACTTATCTTAAATCTTTAGATGATAGGGTTTTTTTTTGTGAAGATTATTCTCTCATTGTTAACAAAATGCTTAAAATATAACATTAGTATTCAAGGATAAATCATTGAAAACCTTTTGAATAAAAAAACAACTTCTGTCTCACCGATCAAGCGAATATTTAATAACATATGAAAATCACTCTATTTATTTTATTCCTTTTATTACGCACAAAAAAACCTTTCATTAATATAATAAAAATACTTATATACAAGGACTTTTCGTTTAAGATAATATTTACATTGTAAATATATTGAATTATAACAAACTATGTATGCCAACATTTATTCAAATCTATAAAAAACTTCTCATACCTTTTAAAGTACACTTACTTATCATAAGTAACTCTTCAATAATAAAGGTTTAATATTAATTTTCAAAATTTTTATTCATATAAATATCATATGTTCAAGCTTTTTTTTTTTTTAAATACAATAACATGCAAAATGATACAATCAGATTTATTTGTAAATTGAGTAGAGAATTTTATTTTCAACAAGACTTTTTTTTTGTAGATAAAAATTATTATCATTGTCCTGAGGGTAAGGTTTCTGAAAAAAAAAATACAAATTTTTCAGCTCCTTGCATTTGCCAATAGGATTCTATTTAAATTACTTCAAATGATAGAACAAACTTTAACTCTCAGAGATGTTTTTTGATTGAGATAAGATACTGGCAATTCGGAATTTAAACAAAAGTTCTTTTTAGCGTTCTTTTGCCATGGTTAGATAGAGTTCGTCAAGTTATTGACGTATACCGACAATGTAGATGTAGAAAAATGAGAAACGCATACAGTCTCGATAAATTCAGTATTATGTGGAAGTTACATATGGTTTTTAACCTTATGATACTAATAAAAAATCTTTTGCTAATTATAGTTGTTCTCCAAGATAATTGATCAACAATAGAAGCGATCTATTTTATTTATTTTTGTATTTCACACAGAAATTTTTCTATTTTTTTTTACTAACGCTTTCTTTTTTTGTTTAACTTATTACTATTCGCTCGTTATTTTTCATTTTTTGTATTTCTTAATTTAATATTATTATTCTAATCATTGATTTAATTGACAAATAAGTCTGCTGTCAGTATTAAGTATACCATTGGATACAGATTTCTGTGCTGGTTTGAATGATGAAATTCGTTTCTTTCGAAATTGAAGTTATGATTGTGAAAAAAAAATTTTGAGTACAAATCCATTTTCATATTCTTAGAATTTTTCTGGTATTTTTAAACCTATCAAAAAAAAAACATCGAATAAAAAACTTTTAGCTCAAATTTCGAATTACCGGCATTTTACAACAATCTTATGCAAGGTACAAAAAAACCGACTTTTGTACCGTTCCATAAAACTAATTTGAGAAATTAAAAAAGTTAGCTTTTGGTTTTTTTTCCAGAGACTTTATTCTCAGGATACGAGCAATCATTTTCATCTACAAAATCTTCTCTATTCAAATTGAAAATAACTCTGATTGAATCATTTTAGAAGTTACTATATGTTTTTTAGTTTTTTCTTTCAGAAAAATAGAAAATAATTAAAAAGTATAAAAAATCAAGTTTGTTATTTAATTGTTGTTTTTTTTTTGTTCTGTTTACCATGAAATACTGTTCTACTTGAAATTGCATATGTATGTAAAATAAAAAAAAGAAAATAATGTATCGATTCATTCAAATAAGAATGTTTCAGTCCTACGGCTTTATATCGTTATTTAAATCTATAGAAATATTTGAATATATAAAAGAATAGAACAACATATTCGCAAAATTACATTTTACAATATCAATCGATCGATATATATATTTGATGATATAATCAAATTCTAAATATAAATAGGAAGGTTTTATTGTATATTAGAACATCAATCGAAATTTGATTTGGTTCATTTGTACATGTTCCTTTTTTTTTTTTTGGTTTAATTGGATGTGAGGGCGTTGTTCGTTTTTTTAATAGAAAGTTAAGCTGATCATTTAGTAAAGTATGTATAATTCAGTGCACTGATCTCTATTTGTAATTTTGCCAGTTACTATTACTGGTGTGTGTGTCCTCCACTGTTCTTTTGTTAATCCTCAACAAATGAAATAAACAGAAGGTAAAAAAAGAAACATACATATATACATTGTACATTGTCCAACGAGGACAAAATTGTTTCTCTTTTTTCAAGTGTTCTTTATAAGACAAATAAAATGTGTGTATATGCACACTTTACAAGAAAGAAAAAAAAAAGTATAAGTAACTGAAATATTGTCATTTTTACTTGAAATGTACCACCGATTCGTACTTGAATGTCTAGACAGTAAGTATAAGAAAAGAAAATTCCAAATTTTATATTCTATGTTTCTTTTTTATGAGACTACTCTTCGATTAATCGATTTTATTTAACACTTATGTGTGATATTTCTTTATTTTATTTCATATTTATAGATTAAAACAAAAAAAAAGAAAGAAAACGAAATGATCTTATTTTAATCTATAGAAACGACAAAAAAGAAAGACGAATATTCATATATTATTAAATGAATCATATTTCAAAGTATGACATATACAGTAGCATAAGAAAAATCATAAAACTTGTATGTATATCACGTTTGTATGGTTTCGTAACAAATGTTGTAATCATTTTTAAAACCAAAAAAAGAAACATTTTTTTTTCTTATTCTTCAGATTTATTATTTATCATGGCATCATGTTCAGATTTAACTAAACTTTCATCAACAATGGATTGTCGACCTATCATAAAGGTACGAAAAAGAAAACAATATCTTGACCGATTGATACAAAACTGATAGCATGGATCTCTAACACTGATCAACACAGTGTTTTTGCTTCTCCTAAGCTCGAGGAACAATATTTTTGAAAGAAAAATAAAAAGCACTCACTCAGATTTGATTCTAGTTGTCGCAAAAAAAATGACGTAGAGAGTTTTGCAGGAGGCGAAAAGAACTTTTGAACTCCCTGAAGAAAGTATCTGACAACTTTTGTTTTGTTTATCGAACTCTATCTGTCTTAAAGATGTATAATTTTTCGTTGAGTCATTCTCGAGAAACTCCAAAAAAAGGGAGATGCACTTAAGCGATCATGACTATTTTTTGAATAACTTTCGATTAACTATAATACTATTTAATTCGAAATTCGTCTTTTGAAAAGAAAGAGTGATCTGCAAGACATCAATCTATATAACACATATTAGATTCCAAAATGTTTTTCACAATTATTTTCACATCAAAATTTTTGTATTCGTTATCTATATGTATGATAATCGTATCTCAAATTACCCTGAATTACAATATCCCGCATTGTCTCGTATATATAATTACAATAAGATTATCACATTTGAAAATTTACCTTATTACAAAAAGACATAATGATCAAACAGATGATATGAAAGTTTTACATCATGTATATAGACAGTAATTCGGACTACACTTTGATGTCATTTAAGATGAGATTATTATAAAAATAAGCAAAAAAACAGTTCACAAGAAAATATCATTAAACTTAATGAATACTATACACATTAATTTCTTGAAATAAAAATTATCCCAAACAAAAAAAAATGATCACAATCACTTAAATCTTAAATAAGCATTAGTTACTTTATAAATCATTCGAGTTATACCAATGAAAAAAAAAAAGTCGATGTTATCTCATTTATCAGATTCTATTCCTTACTAATGCTATATGTATTGTCAAGGTCGAATGGTCATATAATTAGGAAAGAAAAAGAAATGATGTTACCAATTTCCGCTAGATATATGTCAAATCCTGATGAGAGTAACTGGAACGATAAGAAAATTTTTCCATACCCTATACAACACAGCCTTCTCAAGTGCATATATGCCAGGCAATGTCATACAATTACATAAATGACATCCATATATATGTTCTTCTCATAATTCTAGGCTACACCAGTCGCTGCTATATCAGCAAGTAAAAAATTTGTTGAACCTTTTAATCGACTTAAACATCGTGCAAATTTATTTCGTCGAAAACTTTATTCATCACAATTAGATATTCATAATCATTGTTCATCATATAATAATTCTTCTAATCAAATAATAAAAACAGATAATAATAATATTATTCTTAAACGATCAAATTCAATGATATGTCCACAACAACGTTTACAAACACTTTTAAAAACTAATAATAATAATAATAATAATCGTAATTCAATTTGTGTTGAATTATCTGGTTGTTCAATAGATGAAAGTTCAACAGATGATTATCATTCAATAAAACTATCATCAAATCATTATTTAAATAAAAAAATACATTCACCAATGAGTAATATTAACGAACAGGATGTATATCCATCAAATGAATCACTTAATGAAAATAAAATTCAAACAGGTACAAGAAAAGAAAAACAAAGACAACATTATCGATTAATATTCAATTTGTTTGTTTTTTTTAGTATCATCATTACCTAATAATAATAATAATAATACTGAACAGACATCTGTCATATCTTCTTCACCTCAATTAACAAAGAATGATATTAGAAACGAACAAAAACAACAACTGATTCCTTCTGTTATATCTTCATCATCAATGATTGTATCACGAAATAATAATGAAATAATTCAATTACGTCGTCAATCATATTCAAATATATCTTTTCCTGAACAACGACAATCAACATGTTCATCATTTGATGAACCATTTTATGATTGTAAACAAGATACATTATCATTAAAATCAACTCAAAATTTTGATATATCTGTATCAAAAATGTCAATATGTACAATGACAGGAAAATCTTTAAATAATCTTGATGAATGTTTATCAACAATGTCATCAGAAGATAAAGGTGTACAAACAACATTTAATGAATCAATAACTATGAATTCAAGTATTATAAGAAATAATTCATCAACAAGTTTATCATCATCAACAACATCAATACAAACTGATTCACTTGAAAATAAATCAAAAATAAATGAAACATTAAAACATTCTATTAATCAACGTCTTATAGAATCATATTATAAATGGCCACATATATATGAAAGATTACTTAGTGAACGAACATGTATTTATTGGGTTAATTATTTAGGTAAGATTATATTAGAAAAATATGATATCAAATACTTATAAATATTAAATTTAGATTGAACAATGAGAATGAGAAAATTACGGTTCTGATTACTAAAAATTGAGTAAAAAAAGAAATGGTTTCGATTCAATTACTCAAAATATCACGTAAAACAATCATCAAATAGATGCAACAAATTTTAAATCTATTTTGAGAAATTTTCATCATTGAATTGTTTAGATTAACGATGACATATATTTCAATACTTAAACAAAAAGCTGTTAGTACAATCCCTGTGAGAAAAAATTTGAAACACGATATAGCTATTGTCATCATTTTATTCAATCTATTTTGAAACATATTTCTTCATCATCGTACAAAGCTGCAGTAAGGAAGTAGTTCAAGATCGTATTTTACAGAAAATATTATACAGATATATTGAAGTCTTTAATCTCAACAATGAAATGAATGAAGATTTCTCGATATTGATTTAAGAATTCTTGTATCTATCTGATGATTTAACAGTTCCGATTTTTCGAAATGACTGAACTCTAGTACGGACTGAGCTCTCAAAAAAAAAATTTTTCACTAGCTTGAGCTCAGTTCAACATCAATATCATCTTTCATATGCACTATACATCATCGAATAGTTTATTTAAAATATTGAAAAACAAATAGCTGTCTCAAGAATAGGAAAAAGTTTATACACATATACATATAAAAGACATGAAATCATCGAGATGAAATTGTTCTCGTTTTCCTAAATCTTGGGATCTTTCTGAATCAGATATAGCATAATAACTAAAATAAATTATAATGCTAATAGAATGTTCCTAGATATAGATCTTTAAATTTGTTTGAGTTGTGCATGTGATAGGTATTGTAACGAGTCATGCAACATATAGCCAAGTTGTAAATTCATCAAATAATATCCATAGTAATGATTGATATTCTTGTAATCAAACAAAAATGTTATGATACTTTTTCTTAGTTGGATCGGACTCAAGGAAAAAAATATTTGTCCAAGGAGAATTAAGTATGATTGTATACATCTATAGGAATCATCAATATTATTCAAAGTTAAGAAAATTATCAATAATTTTTCATAATCTTATCAGAATTTATTCTATAATACCAATAGATTGATCTTGCTTATTCATGTCTACATATTAAAATTATAGTTCCATATGTTTACTTAATCCTTCAGAAATGCAATATTTCTAAATTTTTTTCTTTTTTTTTGTAATACAGGTTCGACAGCAATTAAAATATCAAATGATGATACATCAACAATGCCAATTCATGCAATTAATCGATTAAAACAATCAACACAATATGCACGTGTTTTACCAATAATTGGTTTAAGTATTTCATCACGTGGTGTTGAATTTTTAAAACATTCAAAAGATCGTATTGTTATCTGTTTTCATGATATTAAATCAATACATTGTGCATGTCAAGATCAAGATTTACGTTATTTTGCTTATGTTACACATGAACAACGTTCAATTAATAATATATCATATGCAACTATGCATTTTAATCATAAACAATCATTAACATCATCACCATCGTTATCTGTAAATAGAGATTATCATAATTATTGTCATGTATTTGTTGTAAAAAATGAATCAATGTCAACTGAAGTAAATTCTATTTGAATGAAATTAAAAATTTAAATTTTTTTTTTTTTTTTTTTTTTGTATTTAGATTTTATTAACTTTTGGTCAAGTATTCGATATAGCTTATCGAAATCATCATCGTTTAAATTCTAAACAAATATATTCAGATAAATCTCATCGAAATATTGATATTAATCGTTATTCGACTACACCTAATAAAGTTATGTCATCATCATCAATACATTCACCAGCAACATCATCGTCATCATCATTATCAAACGATGAACGAAGAATTTTTATTTAAAAAAAAAAAAACAATGACAAAAAAACAAAATCTATTGTTTATAAATAATATGTTATTTAAATAAATTTTTTTTCTTGTGTCTTTTTGATTTTGCAAAATCTCCTATTTTTAAAGAATATGATTAGAAGATTAAAAAACATCAAAGTTTTACCGTTAATCAGCAGCGTGGCGCAGTGGAAGCGTGCTGGGCTCATAACTCAGAGGTCGGTAGATCGAAACTACTCGCTGCTATATAGGTTTTTTTTTCTTATCATTCTGACTGTTGGAATTACGCAATTATTCGTTTTAATACAAAAAAAAAAGAGCGAATTACTATAAATGCAGTACTTGATTTTTATTTTACCTTAAAATCGACTGAGAGTATGTCTATGATAATCATCTTGTACTTAATCATCAAAAATGTCATAATTTTTGCAATATTTGAGCATTCGAGGTCGCTTTCAAAAAAATTTCGTTTGTTCTTTTTCTATAAAAGTTGGTAGTGTTTCAAGTGATGTAGATTATCTTGATGACAGAATACAGACATGAGTGTCATTGGTATAATGACACATAGGATTCTATTCGAGCAGAAAAATGTAGTACATTTTGGATCGGGAACGAAAATTTTTGAAGCTGGCATCCAGTGTCTCAAAAATCTTATTATTATATAATTTTGTTCCATTCACCGTGAGCCACTATTGTGCATGTGAAGAGAAAACCCATAGTTACACATTCTTCTCCCACAATCTCAAAAATACATATGATCCTTCTCGTAATACCCTTGATATTCCAAACTTAGAGAGATACTTCTAAAATACACTTCTTCCAATCCAGCACAAATATTCAAACAAAAGACAGAACAGCATTGTTTTCTCATTGAATTTAATCTCGTATATTTATATTGTTTTGAATCTAGTCAAATTTTAAATAGGTTAATAACTATCAGTTAGACTTTATTTAAATTATATTCGAGAATGATTTATTTGTAGGAAAGTATTCATGAAGAAATCTTAAAATAATCATAATAAAACAATATAAAAGAAAGTATTTTAATCAGTTCTTTTTTTCGAGAAGTGTTCCCAATGAGTCTCCGAATTTCAATTCGAATTGATCTCCACTATGATAGTTATTGTTTTGAGCAAAACATTTTCCTTCGAATTGACCATGACTTGAGTTCCATATCAATTGTACAGTTACTCCATGTTCGACGTTTTCTTTGGCATCACCAGTACCTAGTGCATAGATTTTGGTCAGATCAATCTGTTGGTTCTTGACAGAAAATGTTCCTTCAATGATAAACTTTCCAATATCATCGTGTCCGTATCCTGTTATTCGGTTTGTGGCACGATCGAATGTTAGTAACGTTACATATGGTCCATACCACTGACCGTTTTTATAATATCGGCTCATCCAGCTTCCGTTTTTGACATAGTCTTCTTCATACGTTTGATAGGTTCTATTGCGTTCATTTGTAGAATTCTTATCGATGAAACCTTTAGTCAATTCTGAATATTGATGACCACGATATCGACGATAACAAAAGATACTGAGGTAGATGATTACGATCAGAATGAGTATGCCACCTAATATACTGCCTACAATAATTCCTACTATGCGACAATTTAAAGTTTGACAGCTACTTCTACGATGTGTAGCACCTAGAACCGATATTTTTCTCTAGAAGATTCACCGTTGAAATGAAATAATTACCTCTATAGCTACTGTCACCTCGGCTTTCGTCAGGAGCACCTTGACTATGAACCAGAATAGCAACTAGTGCAACGATCAACAGAAAGCGCAGTACGATGTGCATGATGATGAAAATTCAATGAAAAAACTTCGATTTGCACACGTTATTTTATTTTCAATTTTGATGTAGATACATATAGAAGACTGATCGTTTGACAGAAATAAATAAAAATTATGTTTGCTTTATGCGTCGACGAATCATGGTACTACTAGAGAAAGAAAAATAAGTATAATGGTAAATATTGATGAAATACTTTTTCACTCATTCTCTGATCATGAAATATACATATATGTACACAATACTGAATATTCTGATTCACAGCAAGACCAATGAAATGCGACACACACATGGCAATGTCAAGTAGTGGTGACAATATTTTCTTTCATTGTCGAAACATGGCACAAATTTTGTATCCACACGGGTGACTATTAATATTACTGAAGGACAGGCAAGAGCGAAAATCATAATTATATGTGTGTTCGTTGTAAGAAGCACCCTACACCCCTGACGATCAACGACATATGTTCTTTGCGAATGTTTGATAGAACAAAGCAATTGACGATCATTTGTCTGGAAATCCCGGCACTCTTATAGAAAAACTAGCTCTGATTAATCGAAAGGTGTTTTTTTGCGATTGTTCATAAATTATTTCCTTCGGTAAAGATCTAAACAGTTTAATCAATTGAGAGAAAAGAATTCCACTGTAAAAAGAAAAGCAAGTGAAATGTGTACTCCTAAATTCTGTTCTTGTCATATTGTTAGTAAATTTCTTGTTATATTCATTGAATCTCATGCTGCCTGAAGGCTATTTTGATTGAAGCGTAAATATCGTTGTTTTGCTCTCCGATTGTCTATGTATGGTTATTGATGATTGGTAACATGTTGTTGCCCGAAATTGATCATCACTTTTGAAATATCTTCTTCAGCTGAACAGCATAATTTCATTCTTCCTTTCGTGTACTCTTCAATAACTTGTAGGCTTGAAATTCGTTTCTTTTTTTGCTGTCAGTGTTAGAGTAGAAGATGTCTGTGTTCGCTTTTCATAATGATCTAAAAACAATGCAAAAGAGACTTGAGAAAAAATTAGAATCATCATAAACAAAGGATTTATCTTTCATCGGATGGGCAAAGATCAATTATCTAATTCTATTTTTAGGCTATTCAGTATGATTTTGTAATATATTGATGGCGATGATTTTGATCTCTCACACATATATCTTTTTCGATCATTTTTGACTACTATCCTTATTTCTAAGGGGAAACATCAATTTTGTCGAACACAAAAAATGATTTTGACACATTAGATAATTTCTTGTTGTATATTATCTGTGACGAAATAGAAAAGTATATGAACTCATTCAGATATCGCAGCAAATAGAGTAATTTGGGCTGACTTGTGATATTAGTGATTGTTTCGATCGTTGTTTTCATATCAAGAATATCTTTTGAAGAATGTCCGAATGCATAAAAACATTTGTTTTTTGCTAAAACAACCTTGATTTGTAATTTAAAAATTCCTCGACATAATAAAACTCAAAATCTGATTGTTAGCAATTGATTATAATGAATTTTTTGAGATTTTCTTTCGTAAACCATACATCAAATTCGATCATCTACTTTTTATTGTGACGGTTAATGAACAGTGCTAGAAATCATAGCTAAGAAATATCTTATGCAACTTTATTGTAGACAGTCGAGTCCATCGAAAATATTACTCATATGCACTGATGAGGAAAGACATAATGAATATGTTCGTCTACTTCTTGATAAACGTTTTCGTACTGACATTAATTGCAAATTCAAACAAGTATTTATCATATAAATTAATTACAAACCAAATCGGAAGAATTTTCTACAATATTTGAGTAAATATCTCGCTAACTACAATTCTTGAGAATAAATTCATATATATCTGATAAAAGAGTACTACTCGACCAAATGAAAGGCATAGTTCAATATGAATTTTATTGATATATCATAAAGAAAAATCATAACTTTTCTGTTGACGTTTATTTAGCACATCGAGAAAAACTGATTAAGAACAATGTATAACGCATACTTATTGGTTTTGTACAGCAAGTAGTACGTCACAATTTCACAACAACTTATAATAGTACAGATCTTATCCATGATGTCATTGTGTCGAGTAAGTCAAATTGCAATCCATCATTCAACAAGTAAGTTTCTAATACTGTGAAACTGATGAGAAAGTTCAATTGTCTAAGAGATTTGTGTTGCATTTATTATTTAACATAATGTGTCAAGCACAAGAGAGAGTGAGAAAATGAAAATAGCCATTCCATCTTTTATCGTCTACATAATTGAGTATTTCTTCGAGAGAAACGTTTCAACATGTAAAAGAATGCTGTTGAATTTATTCTTTGAATGCAATTTGTTGACATAGATTTTCAGAAAACAACTTGTCCAATTTTATTCGAATAGATTAATGATAAATATTCTTGTGCTTTTTTGTTTTATATATTTGAGGATCACACCTGAAGATTTTATTCATTTTATAATTCAATGTGATGCGAATGTACATGAAATGATAAACCGAAATCATGGATTCGTCGCAGTCGACACGAACACGTTCACTCAAATGTCGCTGTGCTTACTTGATTATTTCGGCAGAACTATCTTACGAATCACATCTTTCCTCAAGTTTAAATACTGTTATTCGTATGTATCAGGACAGTTAAATTTTGTTATTTTGTTTTTTCATGACGTCAAATAAAAGCTTACCATTGAGATGTTACCTTTTTTCTAAAAGACCAGCTTTTTTTATCTTAAAAGTTTTAGTTGGTCCGACTTTAAATATCACAGAGTAACCGACCATACGTTTTGTATCGTAGTTCTGCAAGAATGAAAGATGAACAATTGCCTTCGATATTACACTTAGCTTTTTCTCTTTAATATCCACCCCCAAGTTACTTGTCAGAGAAAATTTCTCAATGATTTATAGATCTTTTGAGTTGAATTTCTTTTATGAAAAGATTTTTGGAATGTGGCCATGTGATGGTTTTTTATGAACTAAACAAAGGAATGTGTAAGCAACGAGTTAGAAAGGAAATATGTAACCATATCGGAGTTAGTTTATTAGCATCTGAAAAGAATATTTGTTCTAAAAAGCTCCAAGAAAACCTATGGTAGTTTGAAGAGTGACATTATATCGAAAGTCAAATGTCGACAATTTCTAAAGGAAAGTAGCTGTACTTTATTGTGACAGAACGACACTGGAATTCTCATTATCAATAATTAGAGACAATTTTCA